GCCCGCTCGCCCGCTCCCGTTGCCGTCCCCGTGAGAGGCTGACGTTCAGAAAAACGCCTTCTGGATGAAAGCCCCCAGGAGCTGCCGGGCGCCTTGCTCTGAGAGCAGCTCAGGCGAAGGCCACCCTTGCCCTTGATGGGTGACTCCCTTCTTCGGGTTGCCACAGAGTGAATAGCCCTTCCCCAAAGGAGATGCTCACCCGGGGGGGGGGCGACAAGCGGGGGGGGGCAGCTGTCACCCCCTAGAAGGAAAAACGCCTTCTGGATGAAAGCCCCCAGGAGCTGCCGGGCGCCTTGCTCTGAGAGCAGCTCAGGCGAAGGCCACCCTTGCCCTTGATGGGTGACTCCCTTCTTCGGGTTGCCACAGAGTGAATAGCCCTTCCCCAAAGGAGATGCTCACCCGGGGGGGGGGCGACAAGCGGGGGGGGGCAGCTGTCACCCCCTAGAAGAGGGGCCACAGCCTTTGCCAACAGGTTTGCATCCACATCGGTGGGCAGTATCTCTGCTCACCAGGGCGAAGGAGCAAAGGGTGCCAGCCAGGAATCCCCTTTCCCTCACAGATCCACTTGCCAAGGAAGACAACAAGGGTAGAGGCCTCGGGGCTGTTGGGTTGTGTGTGTGTGTGTGTGTGGGCGATCCAGAAATGGGGAAGGGGAGGGCAAAAGTCAGTCGTTAGTGGAGTTGCCCTGCAGGGCTGCCTCCACAAGATGCCTCTGTCGTGGGCAGAGCCCAGCGTGCCCACAGAAAGCAGTGACATTTTGCCCACCGGAGCCCTCTTCTGCTCTTGCTTGGGCAGGCGATGGCACAGCGGAAGATGGTGCGGAGAGGGAGCCAGCCCAGCCGTCTGCCACCCACGGCAGCCCAGCAGCTGGAACGGAAGCACCACGAGGCCTATTTCCAGCAAATGAGAGAGCTGGAGCACGAGAAGAAGGTGCAGCGGGTCAGGCAGCTGGAGGTGATGTGGGAGGCAGAGGATCGCGTTGATCAGAAGCGGGTCACGCGGCTGCTCCAGGAGGAGGAGCACGAGCGGCGCATGGAAGAAGCCCTCCAGAGGGTGAGTCAGCCTTCGCCCGGCGTGGAAAGAGGCTGCGGCAGCGCTGTTCCCACGGCTAGGAGTCCAGCTCTCCCTCAGAGGCCCTGCGCGGAGGACCCTGGCCTCAGCAGCAAGGCCGTTGGGCTGCCTGGGCTCCTCCGGCCTCTGTGTTTTCACCCCCTAGGCTGGAAGGAGTCGGAAGGGATGGGAATCACAAACCACAAGCAAGCAGAGCCCTAGAAGGGAAGCGGGTTAGACCGAAGGTTAGTGGGTTGGAGGGTTCCCCATTTAGAGTTCTGTTGTGCCTGTAGAGCAACTGGAGCCAGAGGGTGGCAGGGGTTGCTCACAGAAGACCTTTCAAAGCCCAGTCAGGGGTGGGATGGGGCACATGGTGAGGGCAGGAACTGGAGAATATTTCCCCAGCAGTGGGATTCTCTTTTCCCCTCTCCGTGGAGCAAGATGGTGCAGTCAGAAACAGCAAAGCACTGTCTTGTTTTCCTTAAGAGCTGTGAAGCTCAGCCCAACATGCTGCCTTCAGTTCTGAAGGAGTCTTCATTGCTAAGCTAGCAATCTTTAAAAACTGTTAGTATATTTTCAGGCTGTTGCTTAAACAGAAAAAAACTATTGGTTGTTCCACATTCCCAAATGTTTATGCTGTTCAAGAAAATGTAGTATCTTTTTTTTTTAAACCAATGCATTTATCAGTACATTATTATTTTCTGTCACACTGCTCATAGATTCACAATGCAAAATGGCAGAAAGCTTGAATGGAAGGTTATTGTTGCCATTCTGTAGAAGGCTTGGTGAGGGTCAGGACAGGACTGAGCTTTTGTTTCTTCAGAAGCCTTAAACCTGGAACCGTCAGACAAATCTATATCAGAGAATGGTCGTGTCTTCAGATAAAGCTGTTCAGAATCCTGTTCCTTACGTCCACTGGAGTAAACTGATCAGACAAATCTCAGTGGCAAATATCCGCTCATTAAGAAGGCATCAGAGGCCTTTGTGGCTCTGCAAGGCTTGCTCTCCCACAACTGGTGCTTCCGCCGGCCTCTCCACCCGTAGAGACAACCTCGGGCTGATGGACTGAAAGCAGCCCAAGGCTTCAGTTGGATTTGGGCCATTAAAACCAGGAGATCCACACGGGTCTGTGGGAATCAAACAAGCCCCAAAGGCAAAACTGTGAAAGGGTGTTGGCTTTTTAAAATTAAGGTTCTCAAAAGGCAAGAGGAATCCTTTCTTTTCCTCAGGTTCGAAAATCTGATTTCTCTCTCTTTTTGCTTTGGTCAGGCAGAAGAAAATAAAAGGCTGAGGCAGCTGGAGCTGGAGCAAGAGGAAAGACTGGCCGCTGAGTTAGCCAGGTTAAACCACGACAGACTTAAAGATGAGAAGATGAGGCAGCAAATCAAAGAGAACAGGTATTCTGTGTCCTAAAGTGACAGAGTCTCAGTTGGTTTCATGTTTTAAAAGCGACCTCCCGCTGCTGTTTGGCTTCTGAGCTTAGCTTCGTCGTGGAGGGAGGGAGTGGCTGAAGATGGGGCTCCTCGAGACGGCCGCAGGCAGGTGAGCCTGGATGCCCAGGAGCTCTTTGGGGGCTTTGCGTGAACATGGAGGCTTGGTCAAACCACCCACCTTAACTTCCCAGGCTTTTGAGGTTCCTTCAAAGGTCAGCTAGAAGAAGCAAAGGAAAGTGGGAATGGCAGATCTCTGTCTCTCTCCCCTGAAATCTATTCACGTGGCCTAGGTAGCCGTGGTGGTTTGTTAGGTGGCTGCAGAGCACTGTTGAACAGCCATGCCTGGGCTGTGGAAGGAGGGGGCCCTATGAAGTAGCTCCGCTGTCACCATGCATCCTTCCTGCGCTGTGGCATAGAATGTTGCACGGTTAGGGAGGAAGGATTGGCAGCTTGGTCACAAGCCCACGAACCTGGAAGCCTGTCCTTGTAGCTTGACAAGTCACTGAATTCTAAAACAAGGCGCTGTGACACGCCCCTTACATGTCCCCAGGTTGTGTCGCTAGCCTGAGGCCCACGACACGTTCCCTCCTTTCTGCTGCCACCAGTTGACCTCTCTCGACACTCTTCAGTTAGAAGGATTGAGGTCCCAGCTGAGTATAAAGTTGAACAATGCCGGTTTATTGATTAGAGTTCGCTTAAACAGGTTCTTCACAGATTTTAATGTACAATAAGTTCTTTCATTCTTAGCTCTCTCTAAGTTCCACACTCCTAAGTCAGGCACACTCCCTAACTATCACAGACTAACTTCTCCTTCAGACTCTCCTCTCCGACTCTCACTGGCTGAACTCCTCAAACTCTGACTCACCTCTTCCTTCTGGTTTCTCTGACTCTGCCTCCCAACTGCTCCCGTTGGTACACGCAAATAATCTCCTACGTGAGCCATAGCAGGGTGGTCGCCACAGGCGCCCAAGATGATGGTGGGACCCCTGCTCTCTCTCTACTCTCTTGGCTGGGATCCATCCCCATCATCACCTGCTCCTTTTGTGCCACTCCTCCCTCCCTCCCGCCCTACATACACACACACACACACACCCTGACAGGACACCAGGTTGACCCTGTGTCTCAACGGGTTTTCTAGTATTGAGCTTCGGGAACTGGAGAGGAAGCTGAAAGCTGCCTATATGAACAAAGAGAGGGCCGCCCAGGTGGCTGAGAAAGAAGCTCTGAAATACGAAAAAATGGTAAGTCTTCTTACGGAACATTTGAGTCTGAGGAGCGTCTGCGCGTGGTTTGTTAAGTACCTTCAAGAGGGTTGTGTAAACAGCATCCGCTTGTCTGCCCAGATCATACTGGTTTGGAAAATGAGTTCATCAGTTTAAAGAGAACTTGAAGTTAACGCTAACTGTACTCTTTGTTTTTATTATTAGAATAAAGCCTTGTTTGTTCATTTGTTTTTAAGGAACCTAGGATTTTAAAACATTTCCTTTTGGCTGGTTAGTGGGTAAAACCGATGCTACAGCTCTGTTTTTTCAGCATCCTGGGTACTGCTGATGGAGTCTGGATTTTACAGCTGTAGACGTCGTGAGAATGACCCATAGAGTGATATAGCTCCTCAAGGGCTAGCCAGCTTTACTTGGCAGAAGCTTTTGTAGCCTTTCATGCCTTTTGAAATCACGGTGTCATCATCCAGACTTCGGCCCTGTTGTTCCTGCAGCTTTATATCTGAGGGGAGTCATTGAGTGGCAGAGTTCTGTTTTCCAATGGGTCGAGCCAGACTCTCTGCTTGAGGCAGGCGGTCCTCCCTTGCTGCACGAGGTGCTGGTGGCGCTTGCCACTCGGGAGGACCCCAGGCAAAGAGGTGGCCCAACCCTTTCTCCCTGTCGCCCCAGAAGGAGGAGGCGGAGACCTGCCGAGCCATGAAGGAAGAGCAAGAAAGAGCCGAGGAGGAAGAGAGCAGGGCCGAGGCCAGGCAGAACCGGGAGAGGCGACTTTACCAGCAGGAGCTGGAGAAGCAGCTGGAGGAGCGGGAGAGGCAGAAGCAGGCGGCCTACGAGGAGTTCCTCCGAGAGAAGCTCCTGATCGATGAGATCGTGCGGAAGATCTACGATGAAGATGAAAAGTTAGTTACGGAGGAATGGGGCTTTGAAACACGCGGGGGCTCTTGCTGAGGCTTGGCCCTCTTGCTTCATGGGGGGTGGAGGTGAAACGTCTCATGAGTCTTTGCAGCTGAGTAGTGAGCCTGCTTGACTTGGTGACTTTGAACCCTCAACCCTGGTTCTGGCCCCAGAGATCTGCCTCTTGCCAGGGCTCAGGCACAGCCATGACGGGGCAAGAGACCCGGAGGGGGGGGGGCATCAGTCTGCTTACTCCCCCCCTTTCAGTTTTTATATTGTTTGCTTTAGTGTTGTAAGCAGTCCTCTATCTAACACTTTAGATAATAATTTTCTGAACTTCTCCAATAGGGCAAGACAAGAAAGACTGGAGAAGAAAAGAGCAACTCAGAGATTCATAGAAGAATTTAAAAGAGACCAAGCTGCACGGAAGAGAAGGCAGCGCGAGGAGATGGAAGAGGAAAACAGAAAACTTGCGGAATTTGCTAGCATGTGGCAGGAAAGACAAGACAGCAGGATGGCAAAAGTCCATGAAAGTGCAGAGAGGAAACGGCAGCTCCAGCAAATGGTATCTCCGCAGTTTTGCTGTTTCCCAGACCGGAATGTGGAGGGTCCGGGACCTCAACTCTTCCTTGGCCTTTTTTACAGCTGGCCGAGGCCCTGGAGAAAGAGCGGCAGGAGAGGGAGGAGCTCCAGCAAGTCCGCGAAGAGCTCTCTCTCGAAGAACAGGCCGAGGCGGAGCGGAAGAAGGAGAGGGTGAGGGACTCGCCTTGCGCGCTTGGGCCTCGCGGGCGGCTGCGTGGCGGAGGCGGCTTGAACGGGACGCGGCTCAGGGTTCCAGGACCAGGCCACGGCCCTCCTGGCAGCCCAGGCGCTTTCCGTCTGCTGCTCGGGGGGGGGGTCGGCTCCCGGAGCCTCTTCTTCCCTTGGCCCTCGGCTTTGTCGTCCTTTCCATGGCTTTTTCGCCGCCCGGGGGGGCCACCGGGCGGTAACCCCGTTTCTGTCCTCCCTCACACAGAGAGGTCCAGGTATCCCCTGTAAGCTGTGCTGGGTTATGGTGGGCTTGGGAGGGCCAACAAGGGGGAGAAGCAAGCACAGCTCCTCCTGCACGGAAGGCCCTCCCTGGTTCGGGGGGCAATGCTGGCTTGCAATCAGGATGTGTGTGCCTCTTCATCCTGTAAAGATTGGGGGGGCGGGTGGATTGGGGTTTCCTTTTTCCCCCCTTTTCTTTAAATATCAAGTTTGACAGGAGGCATCCAGTACGTATATACTGTGGGGGGAGTGTTTGCAAGGAGAGCATTCAACACACACAGAGAGAGAGAGAGAGAGAGAGAGACATGTCTCTGGCTGGTTCATGAGCCAGTTCCACCTGTCCAGCAGTCTCTCATGCCTTCTGAAGCTGTGAGATGGAGGTGGGAGAAAGGTGCCCCCCTCTGTCAGAGACTGATACTCCTTGAAAAATCAGGTAGCTTTAGAGTGTTTAAAAGCCTTCAAGCCTTTGACCTGCTCCGTGAACTCCCAGTGCCAAATTCCTGGGTACTGGGTTGAGAAGGATGCCAAGCTGTTTGTCCACCTTCCCACAGGAAGAGATGGAGCAGAAAATAAGGCAGCGTTTGGAATTGCGCAAAGCATACGAAGAGCAGTTGGCCTCGAGGGAGGAGCTGCTGCAGGCGATGAAAGAGGAGGAGGCCGCCTTCCGCCTTGCCATGCTGGCCAAGTTCGCCGAAGACGATCGCATCGAACAGATGAATGCTCAGAAGCGAAGGATGAAGCAGCTCGAGCACCGGAAGGAGGTGGAGAGGCTGATTGAAGAGCGGCGGAAACAGTTCCTTGCGGACAAGGTATGCCGAGTCTCCTCAGGCAAGTGCTGGGCTCGGAGCAGGCCCTCCACGGCTCATGACGCAACTCTGTGGTGCAAGAGGGGAACAAGGAGGGGAGGCTCTGCTCCGGAGGGGGGGGATCCTGCGGAGCCAGAGGCTGTGCACCCTCGTGGAGGCCGGTCTTCGGAGGAGCAGGCAGGGCTCAGATCAGGCTCACCAGGACCAACTAGCATCTGGAAGCCAGAGTTGAAAGCAGGGCGTTTGTGGCACAGCTTCGGGAAGTTGATCTTGAATGTGAAAAATTAAGACGCCTTTCTTGTGTTTGCAGGAGCGTGAACTTGAAGAAAGACAGCTGGAGGAAAGAAGGAAAGGACTCGTTGATGACATTATTGAGGAGGAGCGACAGAAGCTGCTCAGGGAACACGCCATAAAGCTCCTGGGCTACCTTCCCAGAGTAAGTGGAGCTCTGTTTTGCGGTACAGAAGGAACAGGAGCCTCACCTCACCCCTCTGGCAACTCCCTTGTCTGATAGCATTAATAGTCACGAAAGCTGGGAAACGCTAGTGCTGTTTTCAGAAAAGGAGAAAAAGCATGGAACTTAACTATTGAATATTAAACAACTGGGTGTCATGTTTAATTTAAAATGTTTTTAATAGCTTAGGAGACAGAACTGCACAGAGGATCCATAGCCACACAAGCCTAAAAGTGCCGCTTGAAGCTCATGTTGGACCTTCTTTCTGTCTTTTAGGGAATTCTTAAAGACGAGCAAGATGTTAACATGCTTGGAGAGGAGTTCCGTCAAGTTTATCAGAAGAAAAAAGGTAATAGTCTGGCGGAAGCCCTTTAAGGACTTGGCAGTGGTGGCCGCTAGGAGAGGGGACGTACCGACTACCTTCCCTGATCTACTTTCACTGTCCGAGCATTTATAACAATAAATTATTCCTCTGGCCTTCGTGTTCCCCTTGTAGGCTGTGTTCAGATATACTTTGTCTGCATATATTCACTCTTGCAAGCAGTGTCGCTGGCCTTGAAAGAAGATGGCAAGGAGCATCCGCGGTGTTTTGGTCAAAAATGCTTCCCACAGCTACAGATCCCAAATCTCTTTATTCAGTTTAATAAGCTAGCGAGTGTGAGACCATCTGTGGAGTCTTTGAGTTATGACCTGGCAGGCCACTCCAGTATTTTTTGCCCAAGTTCTCCTGTTACGTATATATTCCGACTAAAATGTGATAAAGATAAATACAGGCAGGAAACACAGGGAGAAGCAGAATGACTTTATTTCGGTGCTTGTGGCTTGACTCAGTTACTGAGGAGATCAACTGCAAAACCTACGGAAGTCTTTGGTTTCTGTGGAATATGTGAAACATCCCACATTGTCAAGCTACTCTTGGGACTCCAGAAGGCTTAGCAGCATCTGTAACCCAATTCCTGTCAAGCTGGAGGACAGGAAAGTCTGGTTTATCTTCGGCCAGCTTTGAAGAATGAGAAAAAGAGCAATGCCACCACATGTGTGATGAGGAAGGGAGATCTGGGGGCAAAGTAGGGATGGGGCAAAACAACGGCTGGCAAACTTTTTAGTTTTTCAGAAAAATTGAACACATTTAAAAGGGGGCTGCCACATTTTCTCTTCAGTTGCCTTCTTGCCACACTTCCATAATCCACGTCTTTGGTCTGCTGGGGGGCTTCGTTAGGCGTTGCCCCACTCCAGGGCTTTCATAAACTCCTCCTCGGTGAAAGAAAGCATCTTGGCAGATTCAATGTGCATCTAAGACCAGGAAGAAGAAATGATGCGTTATTTATTGAGTAAGAAAACAAGTCAGGGGTTCTTTCTCGCACACCCATGGCAAAAGCGACCTTATGTGTGACAGCAGACAAAGCACCCATGGAATTCTTTTTGTAGTCTTGTCTTGTTTCGGTGAGAGCACGTTGCTGTCAAATTGCCACGCCGGCCACCGGGAGGGCCGAGGCCAGCACCATCAGCCTAATGCAGATGACCGAATGATTGCAGTGGACATCCAGAGGTCAGTTCCAAGCACAATGGCTGAAGAAGCTGCTGCTGCTGCTGCTCAAAACAGGCCTGCGTGCCACCAGTGGCCTGTAGGAAAGCCGGAGGGCAGCCCTGAGGCCCTTTCAGCCCTGCAGGGGCCGGTGGCCCTTCAGCAGACCTGGGCTTGTGAGTCAGGAACAGCTATGGGAAGGTATGGCATCCGGACCGGCTCTTTCTGTCTTCCTGGCTCCTCCGTGCCGAAGATCAATTCATGCAAAATGAAGAGAGCAAGGCAGTCTGGTCTGATCTGAAATATGCCCTCTTTTAACTGTACAAGCCACCTCTAGTGAGGGCAGCATGCCCCACTGGTCCCTACCCTTGAGATGGATTATAAAATGAATGGGAAATGAAAAAGTGTATCGTGAGAAATATCCTTCCTGCGCAAATCGGAAATGATCCGTGGTAGTTAAAACCGTCAAATGAAACTAGGCAGGAACCTCTGAGCCTCTAGGATCCCTTTACCACAGGAAGGGAGGTCTCTAGGGGTAAATCCTGCAGAGTGGATTTCCTTCAGAGAGGAGTCCTGCCTCCTCCTGCTCCCCCCCCCCCGTGCCCTGTGCCTGTTGCTGCCCTTCCTGGGCACTCCTGCCCGCCCGCCTGGCTAGTTGGAGGGCCTGGATGGGAGGAACTCTTTCAAGAAACCTGCCTCCACTTCCTTGTCCTGGACTTTGAAGGGGATCTTCAGCATGGAGACCAGCCTGGACACCAAACGAAGACCTGGTAAACCTCATAAAGAGGTTTTATTTTTTTGCTCTCTTTTCCCATTTAAAAAAAAAGCAATGCGCAACGTCCAACTGATAAATACTTAAATCTCGAATAGTTAAAACATGCTTAGCCAGAACTGGAAAGGCCATATGTGGGGTTTAGCTGGGTATCTGTGAAGTGAAGAGGCCTCCTCCTGGGTCACGTTCCCCGTGGCGGCTCTCTGTCCAAAGAAGAAGCCTTGAAGCAGCAGCGGGCCCTGGGTAGGGCTCCAGAGAAGCAGAGGGGTACCGATTTCTGCAGGGTTTTCCCTGTGGTCCCATTTCATGCCCCATTCGAGTGCCAATCATTTTCTCATAACCAGTTTGGAATGTGGCACCTGTGTGTTTTTTTTTCCTTTTCTAAAGAGAAACTAAGTCATACTGCAGCCCTAAGTATGCATTCAGTAGCAACAACAAAAATACTAGTAGGTCTGGATAACTTGCCTTTTGCCTCTTTAGAATATCAATTAATTTCAGTTGTTTCTTGAAACCTGCCATCAGCTCTTCTTTCTGCTTCTCCAGCCTCTTGTTCTCAATTTTCAGTTCTTCCAGCTTTTTATGTTCTTGGTTGACAACATCCTAGGAGGGGAGGAAGGACGAAAAACAGGTCTTGCAAACTCTTGGGAGAAACCCCAGCAGGCGACACACACACACACACACACACACATAGAGAAACCCCAGCAGACGACACAGAGAGAGAGAGAGAGAGAGAGAGAGAGAGAGAGAGAGAGAGAGAAGGGTGCTGTCCAGGGGATGAACGGCTGCAGCCTTCAAAGGCAAAAATGCCACAAGCAGGCATTTTGGGGCACACTGTCTCTGTCATTCTGAAACCAGAGCAGAAAGGGTCTGCAAACTGGCTTGACTTCAGAAACCTTACTTCTCTTTGTATTTCCCTCTGAGTTTTGACCACCTCTGTGTGCAGAAAGAGAGAGAGAGAAGCAGGAGAGGTGACCTTCAGCCAAGCCCCCCTGACAGGGTGAGGGGAATGTGGAACAGGCTGGCCTGGGCTCCCTGGAGGGAGAAGCACAGGCTGACAAGATGTTGGGGGGGATGGGGGTGGTGGCAGGATGCATCCCACTGCAGGTGAGAGAGGACCTGGAGAGGAATGCAACCTCAGCTACTGCCTGGCCTGGACAAGCTGGGGGGGGGTGCAGGGGGGCTCTGCTGCCTTCTCGGCAGATGTAAGCCTACCTTATTGCTTTGCTTCAATCTGTTCAGTTCCATTTTATATTTCTCCGATTCCTCCAGAGCTCTGTTCAAGCGAACTTCCATCGTACTCTGACTGGCTGAAGCCTGCTTCTGCGCTCGCTTCAGAGTCTCGAGTTCCTGTTGGGCCAAGCCAGGAGAGAGCCCGCATTGCTTGGGGAGCCCCAAGGGCTTCCAGGGGGTTGGGGGGGGGAAAGACCACTCTTCTGCTGCTTTACAGCTCAGCTCTCAGGGCCTTGGAGAGGAGGACCAACCCTCTGAGCCCCCCCCCTCGCAGGAAGGGAGGTCCAAGGAAAGCTTTCCCGGAGTGGCCCCTCCAGGGCCCGGTCAAAGGAGTCAAGAGTGGCCTTAGAAGGCAGGCAGGCCGGGAAGGAGGGAGGGAGGAATGAAGGCCAGGGAGGGGCCCCTCCTTGCCTTTTCCACCCCGGAGAGTTTCTGCTGCAGCCCCTCGCTCCGCCTCTTGCCGTCCTCGCACAAGGACTTGTGCTTCTCGATTTGAGACTGCTGCAGGGCGGCCGTTCGCTGCAGCCTCCCGCGCTCCTCTTCCACCTCTCTTAGGCGGCCACTCAAACTTCGGTTCTCATCCTCCTGCAGCCCAAAATTCACAGGGAGAGAAGCGGAGGGTTTGGGAGGCGCTTGCAACCCTCTCCCCGCAGTGGGCGTGGGGCGCGTGGGTGGTGTCTCTGACCCCTCGGCTGGTGCCCAGGCCCACCCACGTTGCCTGTCCCTGCTGTGATGCCACGTTAAGGGAATCCGGGACTTCAGGGCGAAAGGGAGACCCCTTCTCCCTTCCAGCCTTCCTTGGCGGTGGCACACCTCACTCCGCCTTGGTCAGCCTCTCTGCTTTTACCTTTTTGCCACATTCCTGGGCCAGGGCATCCAGCTCCTCCTGCATCACACGCAGCTTGGCCTTGAGGAATCGGATCTGGGCCTCTGCAAAGGTCCAACAGCTGGAGTTTACAATCTTCAAAGCGGTGGAAGGCACTGCAGCAACGTGCTCTGGCCCGCGGCCTTGCGGGTGATCGGCCCTCGGGCGTGCCTCCAAGCCAGGCTGGATGGAACCTCTCTCTCACGAGGGGGCAGCCAAAGCCCCGGGCTGCCCTCCGGCCAGCCTCAACCCTGAGACCGCTGCAGCAGGAGCCCCTTACGAGGGAGCTGCTCCAAAAGCAGGCAAAGAGGAGACGCCCTGCCCGCACGGCCAAAGGCCGGCACTGGGCAGCTGCTCCTCCAGGCGCTGAGCCACACAGAGAAAGGAAGACAGGTCCCTGATCGAACGGCTTCATTCCCCACCCACTGAAACCGCGGCCGTGAGAGATACATGCTGGCATCGAGGAATACACGTCTTGCCGGATGGCCAAGGCTGGTATCTTTAAGGCAAACAGGTGAAACGGAAGGCGGATCCAGGCCTCTACACCACAAGAGACGAATGGCAAAACCAGACGGCAGGCTCACCTGCTCCAAGTTCGCTGGCAGCGCCGGGGAGAAGGTCATCCTCTAGATCAGGCGTGTTCCCTTCTTCGAGCTGTCCTTCAATTTTCCCGATGGTCTTTGCAAGAGAGAAGTCTGGCACGGCAACGTCAGAGGCACTGGGGGCGTTGTGCGGCCTCCGCTTCGCACTGCAAAGGAGAGAGAGAGAGAGAGAGACCCAAAGCAAAGTCATGCCAGGCAAGCAGAACTTAGACCGCCAGCAGACATCCTGTTCAGCAGCCCGGTGTGCGCAGCATTAAGCTGCCCCCCTCCCTGACCCTTGCATCCATAGCACAGGCTTCTGTGCTTCTGGGCTGGCTTGGGACCCCGCCATGGGACTTGGGGCCCCAAGGGCCCAGCGTGGGCGAGGAGGCCCTGTTCAGCCACCGACCTGGGCAGCGTTCTTCTCCCGGCTTTTATTCCAGGCGGTGGCCCGCTCCGAGCTGTAGTCACAGGAGCTGGGTGGTTCTTCTTCTGCGGTGGCTGCAGAAAGGCCACAAGAGAAAGCTCTGCCTGGTGCAAGTGCAGGCAGGCTTCTCGCTTACAGGCAGGCGGTGGGGTTCACAGGGACCATCCGCCCCAGAAGCCCCAGGGGAAGCGAGGGGGCAGGCGGGCCCAGGCTTCCTTGGGGAAGGTGTGTCCTCCCATGGATGGCTTTCCTGCCGTGCAAGCGGAAACTGGGCACGGAACGGGTCCCTGCAGCATATTGCCACTGCTCCACCTTGCAGGGCAAATCCTTCACTGCCCCGTCCCTGAGAGCCACTGGCTCTCCGAACCCAAGCAGGCCGGCAGGTGGAGAGGCCCCCCTGGCTGCCCAGATTATGCACAGGGCATGCTGGGGAACTGAGTAAACAGACGGTCTGCCTCATGTTGTTGGCACAATTGGCATGAGAAGCTTCGCCACCCTTCCCTCCCAACCTCGCAGGAAGCAAGAAGGGCTCTCTTAACTGGAGAAGCAACAAGAGTCCCTACCTTATGGGATCCCACAGGAAGGGGCAGCAGTTCGGGAGAAGGTAAATCTCTGCAGGCACAAGGAAAAGGGCAACAGATTTCAAGTTATTTGGAAGAATGCAACCAAGGATCTGTCCATTTTTCCTTCTGTAGGAGGACGGATGCAAAACACCTCTGTCTGTTTCCGAGCAGGCCGTGGCGCCACGAGAGAGAACAGCGTCCACACAGGGACCCAGCCAAGGAGAAGAGGGAGAGAGGCAAGCAGCCCTGGCAGCTGGCTGTGGTTTTGAATGGCTGTGGAGAGATACCCAGGCATTGCCCTGTTGGCACCCCACAGTCCTGCTCTGTGGGCAGGGGAGGCACTGGAGCAACCAGGATCGGGGCCTTGAGTAAGTCCTGCCATGTCCTGCTTCTGCTCTCCCTGTGGCTCCTGCGTGCCTTGGCCACCAGCACTCGGGGGGCGGGCGCCATGGGGAAAACGGCCTGCTTGCCAGTTCTTTGCCCATCCCAGGAGGAATCCAGGTGAGGGCACAGCCGTGTGGGTACATTTAAGGCCGGCCCACCCTTACCTTTGCCTGACATGGTGTTTTCCCAGCTGGATTCCCCCCCCCCTTCTCCCAGCTCCTGTGGAGGGACATCCCCTGCCCTCACAGTGTTCAGCCTCAGCACCTGGTCACCTCTGGGGAAGGGGGCCCCTCTCTCCCTCCCTCCCTCCGCAATATGCCTGATTTGCAGGGGGTTGGGAAGAAAACAGCTAAGAAACCCCCAGCGGTCCCCCCCCCCCCCCCATGGGCACCTCCTTCCACCGGCTGTTTCCCCAGCCAGGCCCAGACAAGGCCTCACCCTCGAGGAAGGTGGCCCAGGGGGAAGCGAGGCCCGAAGACTGCCAAGTCCAGACCAGCAGCCCAAAGGCTGCTCCCGACAGAAGGCCAAGCTATGCAGGAGGACCTGCAAGTCGAAAAGGGATGGCGCTCGTGACGTACGGCCACAGCAACAAGCCCACCGCAGGCTGAGAGTCATGGATTTTCCCAACACAGAGCATGGATTTTTTTTTTCTAAATCATAGCAAGCCTCTGCCCCTGGGTTCCTCCGGAAGCCCTTCATGGCACCCTCTTCATGGCTCTCGCTACACAGCCCTTTTAACTGGATCGGTGCCCCTTTAAAGCCACAGAGACCAGAGGCAAGGGACTGCACTGGTGCCAAAGGAGGAGGTGGTGGCACAGGGCAAGCTGTGCTTCCCCCCCCGCGCACGCCCAATGCCATCCCTTCTGGCAGTCTGGACTTCTGAAC